CCTGTTCTGATCTGATGGGTAAATGGGAAAACCTGCTCCCTGGTTCCTTCTCCCTGTCAAATGTTCACGATCCTTTCCCCACTTTCCTTCTCCTTGCCTCCTCCCTCTCCTTTCTTCTCCCTTTCTTTCTCTACTATCATCTTCTTCCTTCATCTGTAGCTCTTTCATCTATTTCTCTCTCCTCCTCCTCTTTTAATATTGATTGATCTCCTTTTTCAGTTTTGTCATTCACCTACTAGCGTCAGGCATTGTTTCCATGCAATGCAAAAATAAATAATTAAATTGTAAAACTCTACAGACTTGCACTCAAGGTCACAATCTCCTGCTGGAGGTGAGAAAGCATAAAACATATTTTCACCAATTAAGTAGATCAGTTTATTACATTCAAGTTCAAGACTGTGATTAGTCAAAAATACCCCTTAAATAAAATATTATCAGATAAAGCTTTTCCAATTATATTTGGAATTAGAAGTAGCACCTAATCAGAAATTTACTACCAGTCTGTACTACTGTCAATAAAACAGTTTGCCTGTAATTATGGGATGTTTTGCAGGTATATTGATAGACTGAATAGCAGTGCATATGAATGTCCCTGGCTCATTTCCCCAGGGTGTCTTTGATAACAACCAATCTGACTCCAAGTGCTAAATTGGACAACCTTTATCAATATTGCCATCTCTCTCCTATGGTACATACCACTGATGACAAACTCAGGTATGCAAGAAACAGTGACTTTGTTTTCTATAAATTAAATTAATTCTAAATTCAATCCTTCCCTATTATCAATATACATTATCAATATGCTGCACCATATCCCACAAGACTGTGCACTTCTTTATCATTTTGGGAATCTCTTCCCCTCCCAAAGTATTTAGGATCTTGGATATTTACATGGTACTCCCCAAAGTAGCAGGTGAAGCATTTAAATCTCTAATCTATCATGGACACAACATATCACACCACTGACATAGCTTGTAGTACTTTCTTTAAATATGGTATCTCTGCTACCATTAGTACTGGCAAGCCAATCTACTCAGAGGCCTGCCTGAACCTTAGTTCTTAAGTCTCACCAACATCTCTGACCTTTGCAATAAAGGAATTCTCTCTTCTTAGATATAGTGCCCCTCAAAGATAATTTTCCTTTTCTTGTTTCCTCCAAAACATTCTGCATAATTTCTTCTGTGGATTTAGCCTTCCGTAAAACTAGAAAAGCTATAACCTTAAAGTTGCTTTCTCTTCTGTCCTTTGAAAATACTTGAAGCAAAGCATTACAAAGACTGATTATCCACTTGAAGTGAGCGATGCAAGGTGGAAGGTGAGAAAGTTTAAAGAACGTGGAGAAAACAAACACAAATGAATTATCCCATAATTATTTTACCCAGAGACTACAAGGGTAAAAATAATGAGGCCTAAATAAATTTAGCTTGTTCAAGAGAGAGCAAGAAGTCAGCGTGGCTAGAGCAAAGGGATAAGAATAGAAGCAGGGAGACCAAGTTAGAAGGATAGTGCTGTAGCCCCATGGAGAGATGATGGTGGCTTGTGCTAAACTTTTGAGTGAAGCAGGGTGGTGTGTTCATGTTCCAAATATATTGTGGCAATATAGTCATCATGGTTCTTTATCTTTCTTTATCAAATAAGGAAGGAAAAAGGACCAAATCCTAGTTCTTTGATTCCCGGACTGTATTTCCCAGAAAAGAAGATGGTACCAGGGACTACCAAGAGAGGGCTAAGCGTTTTATTTAATTTTCTGAACTTCCTTTTCCCAGGACACTTTGCTGAATATTTACTCTTCATCTAGGCCTCAATCACCAATCCCAGGATATGATGACATGTGAAAAAACAGTGTTCCAAAACCTAATTTGTCATCATATCACCTGGACACTGTCTTAAAAAATATGTTCCTGAGCCCTTCTCTAGACCTATATAGTCAAAATTCTCTAAAGGTGTGGCCCAGGATCTTCCCAGGTCATTCTAATGATGATAGGGTCAAGAGCCACTGGAGCAGAATATATGTAAGGCATCCCAGTGGACTCTAGAGAGAGCTGGAAGAGACCTGGCAGGTAATAAGGCAGAGGATTCAAAGGTTAATAGAATGGTTGGCATATCTATATTCACAAACTAATGAGGCCTCAGGAGAAGGCACAGTATGCTATAAATAAAAACTTCTTGGATTTAGGAATTTGATAAACCCACATTCAGTTCCAGCACATCTACCTACAGGCATGCGTGTCCCTGGGAAAAGCACATAAATTCTCTTGCCTTAGTTTCTGCATCTGTAAAATGAGACAAAGAGTATCTAATTTAGAAGGCCACTATGGGGATTACCGTATTTGCCGGCGTATAAGACGACTGGGCGTATAAGACGACCCCCTAACATTTCCACTCAAAATACAGAGTTTGGTATATACTCGCCGTATAAGATTACCCCCTCTTCCGCACACCTTCCACACACCAAATAAAAGGTAAAACAATATCAGATTTGATTTCAACATTTATATTTATATTCAAATGCTTATGACATGCAGGAAAACTGTCACAAGGCTGTATGTAATCAAACATATACATAAATCGCGATTCGCGATTTTGCGCTATCATACTGGGTGTATGGTCAGCTGTGTGCGATTTTGCGAGTGTGGTAAAATCGCATAACAGCAAAATCGCATAACAGCCGCGCATACACCCAGCAGCGCTGCTGATGCCTGAACGGTATGTGGAATGAAGTGGGCGGGCATCGGGAGGCCACTATGGCATGGGGCAAGCACTATGGGCAGTCTATCTGAAGTGTACCTGGCGTATAAGACGACCCCCCACTTGGAGGCATATTTTTCAGGGCCAAAAAATCATCTTATACGCCGGCAAATACGGTAAACTGAATATCCCTAGCATGCTTATCACTATGTCTGGTACCTAGTGGGAGCTCGGTTATCATTTAGAAAAGGAGGTGAAAATAAGGATCAGTAACAACTACAAAGGTTGTCTTCTCTAATGCAAATTTCCACAAGAAAAGTGTTTGGAGGGCAATGGCCTCTTTGGAACAATTTAAATGTTTCTTATTTCTTTTGAGGTTTAATTTGGGCTAAAACTGGTTTAAGGACAAAAGATAGTTCTATAGTGGCATGAAGTTTTCTAATACTGGAGTGGTTCTCTATGTGGGTCATTGGCTCTGCTTTGAGCAAAATTATTGTTAAAGACTTGGATGAAAATGTAAATGACAGGGAAGGGAAAGAAAGTTACTTCAGGAGTTACTAAACTAAGATTCCAAACCACATTGTCCAGTTATCCCAATAGACCGAAGTAGAGAAGGTGTAGTGTTGCTGGTACAAGAGTGAAGTCCAGCACTGGGATCCAGGATATCATTGGTTCAAATAAAGGATAGGATAGACTTAATAATAGTTCCTGTGGAAACCTCCTAGAAGTTTTAATTCACTAGAAAGAGCAGAATTTGGTCACATCTATTTTGTGCTTCCATGGAATATCATTTCTGTGTCAATAATAGCACTTAGAACATTTTGTTATATGGTTTATTTGAAATCTGTTTCCCATTTTCATTTATGTGCAATATAAAAACAGAGATTACATCTTGCTCATCTTTAAATATCCAACATCAGTATCATACTTTACATACAATATATGCTCACTAAATATTTGTTTTATGAGTGGAGATACATGTGAATACAAGAATAATAATATGCATCAGTGGTATATGACTCTGAAATTCAGGGTATGAAAGAAACGGGTGCCTATGGAGGGGTGGAGAGACAAAATATGTATTTATAAATCAATATTGATGAGGCTTACTTCCAAAAATTAACTTTGCCCGCGTAACAGTTTTGCAAGTGCAATACAGTAGTGTAGCATTTCCCGAAACATGACCCTCACAAGGTACACTGAAGAAAATAAATATGGGAGGTGGGTGTGTGGAAGGGGGTAGATCCTGTCTGCATTTAAAACTGGCCAGTAATTTCTGAATACTCTGGCACTTTAAGATTCATAATGTGTTTTATTATGTTAAAGCATCTGAGAACCTCTGCTGTAAATAAATCTATTTAGCCTAATTTACCCTAATGTTTAACCCTGCCTTTATATATTAATTTGACCATAGAATCACTTTTGCATGTGAGAGAGACATACTTATTAACCTCCCGAGGAAAGCACTTGGCGAATGCTGTTGGAGTAAAAGGAGTTCTGGCCTGGGAGGCAGGCGCTCTGGATTCCAGCCCTGACTCATCATTACTGACCTCATGACCTTGGGCATCAATCCTTGGTTTCTCTATCTCTACAATGACTCGTTATTGCTGGGTTGCCATTCATCTTTACCACGGTTACATCTATTATCTATGGAATTGGGAGCATGCTTCAACAGTATTTGTAAGTATGGTAATATGGGTAGACATTATTAATGCTCCCCAATACCCAGTTCCCTTTTTCTTCTGTGGATATAAGGGGCACAGCACTTTCCAGCACTTCCAGAGCAAGGAGGGTCATGTGACTAGTTCTGCCTAATAAAATGTGAGTAGGAAGGTGATGTGGCACTTCGGGGCTGTCTGCGGAAAGCTCTGCCTGACTTTCCAATCTCCCTTCCCTCTGTTGCAGCAATCATGGAGAAAGTCTCATTTTGTGATGGTGGAACCCCAGACCGAAGTAGCAAAGACTGCTGCATCCTTGGCCTGGCAGCTGCCCTGGAGAGGCGCCTGGACTTAAGGCAGATTTTACGTGAGTGAGAAATAGCCTGAGGTGTTAAACCACTGGGATGCTGGGGTCATTTGTTACCACAGCATAAGCCTAGCCTCTTCTGACTAATAAAGTAAGGCAACACTTTGATTAAAAAAACATCTGACCACATTTTTAATGGTCATCTGAACCAATGTTTTATAGGCCTGTAGGTTCTAGCAATGAAAAGATCATCATAAATGAAATCTATTAATTCTTTTAACTTCAAGTAATGTTACTTAAGTCACAGTTTAAATGCCAAATTTCAGGAAGAAATCTTAATATCATACCTTGGGTCTGGCACCCCTGACGTCCAAGGAGTTCAGGTTGCTTTCACACATTACCCAATTTATGTTCCTGCAATCCAGAGTGGTAGAAAAAGAAAGATACTGTTATGCCTATTTTACTAAGAGCAGGGTGCAATGCTCAGAGAGGGTAGGTAAATTTCCTCAGAGTCCCCAGAGGGAACAGGTTTTACAATCATGTTTTCAGCTCACCTATTCCAGGGTTTTGCCTAGTCATTCCTTGATTTTGCTCCTCTAGACAGCTTTGTGAAATTTCCTCTTCAGACTTTTATAGTAATTTCTCTGATCCCCTCTGATGGTAAGTTTTATTTCCTTAAAATTTTTAATTTAGCAATATTTATGGAGCCCCAACAAGGTGAAGAATAATGTTTCTGGCTGTGTGAGGTGTGAGAAGCTGAGGAACAGAAGGCAGGGGAAAAAGAGATTCAAATGAAAGTTAGTGTCTCACCCTATCAGGAGCTCACAGTCAAGTAGAGCTGAAGTGGGTGGTTGGAGGGGAAGCAGACCAGACACACTAGTATACGTGGGCATGAATAAAGAGCCGAACAGGCTGGACGTGGAAGCTACCAGTTTTCAGGTACCATGCAGGTCTCTATTTTAGACTGTGAGAGAGGCTAGCTTTAAATGTAGTCCCTAACGCCTGATTAATGGTAGAAATTATTCCCAGGTTGGAAGCTAATATAACAAAGACTTTATCTTCGTAGTTGTGCCTTTCCCAGTGGATGGAATATAATAGTTACTCAATTAATTGAGAGAGAGAGAGAGAGAGAGAGAGAGAGAGAAAGAAAGAGAGATATAATCTGTTTGTTAGAAGTGATAAATGAATAAATAAATACATACATACATACATAAGAAATAAATTAAATAAAAATAATGTCCACCCATGTTCAAGGAGAGAAGATAAACAATTGATAGACAATTAATTTCAGCAAAGGAAAAGAAATAAACACAAAAACAGGCAATTAACTTAAGGAAGAAAACAAAGCATACAAGAAAAAATATAATCATAATATACTACTTGACTCAGCAGCAAATAATATTTACATAAACAAGGTAATGCAAATGAGTACTTAAAATTATGGCATAGCTGTGCTCGAAGGGAGAAGAGGGATAGAAAAGTCAGGGGAAATGGAGCTGACACACAACTCAATCCTCATCTATCGTAATAGGTCAATAGATCATTTCTAAAATTGACATCAGGTAAATAAATAGCCTCAAAAATTGATGTGAGGAAAAGTCAGCATTAATGTATTATTTAGAAATAAAAAGGAGAATGTCAGAAAAATAGTCAAATAATTTAAAGGTGCTAGAAACTGGAACTAGGGTGGAATGAGAGAGGGCTGGAGGCTGATTTTTTTCATTGTAAGTCTTTAAAGTATATCAGGTTTTTATAAACTATGAGCACATGTTTATTTGATGACAATAAAAATAAATTTGAAAACAAATATATTAAGTACAAACATACTCTAGGAAATGCGTTAGGTGAGAATGATACAAAGATGAATAAAGACCATCTCTGATTTCAAATGCTTACACTTTAAGGACACCAGGACATTGTCAGGTTTTCTTTTTTTAATTGCTTTTATAATAAATGTGTCTTGTTAGGATTTATCACTTTGTACTGACAGGGAAGGAAGCTCTGATTAACTTGAAGCTTCTGATTAGCTGGGTTTTAATTACTCAGAAGAAAAAAAGTCTCTTTTCACTTTGTCTCTCTCTCAATTCTCTCCATAACTTTCAGACGCACCTTCCACTGGATGCACAGAAGGAAGAACTGGCCCTCTTTTAACTAAAAAAAAAAAAAAAAAAGACAACCGAGAATGCACTGGGCTTCTAGTCCACGTGAGCTTGGAGGAACTCAGGATGACTCTGCAACTGGCCTCCGGCTGCTGAGCAAACAGGCCTCACTGGCCAGAAGTAGCTTCCAGGTACAAGCCACTGATCACATCTAAAGTGTTATGCTTGAAACCCAGAGAAACAGAGGAATGTACTTACTGCAAAATGTGTTTTCACCATAAAACTTCTGAGAAACTATAAACTGTAAACTAGTTAACATTTTTCCTCTGGACAGCTGGTCAGACATTAAAGTGAGCTGGTGATAGCTCTTATAAATAAGATTTCCATGGGAGAGCAATTGCAGGAGCACAAACAGCTTTCTAAATACTGAGAGTTGGCCAGTTAAAAGAGATAACCTCTGTCTTTTGTTTTGCTTGGGGCAGCATGCAGTCTGGAGCAGGGAGCTGACTTCTAAAATGACAGAAAAGTTGGAGTTTGAAACTCATGTATCAACAGAAAATGTACTTGTCCAGAGAGTCAGTGGTTTAAAAGTCTGGCTTTTAGCAACTGCTGCAAAAAAAGAAAACACTAATATTTATATTGCTATCAATTTGTAGAGACCTTTGCAGTTCACCAAGTGTCATGGAAATAGAGACTATCCATCAATAATGGTTCTCACATTAGAAACTGGGGACATGAAAGGAATAATGATGGCCTGGCTCCAACCCTACCAATGAAGTTAGAATCACTTGGGGTGGAGCTTTGGCCTAGGTATTTTTTTTTTATAAACATCCCAGGTCTTTTTTAATGTGGTTAGAACTGCCTGGGGGAATGCTGAGAATGGCAAGGGGGAAAAAGCTGGGGACATAGCGCGCACGTCAGTCCCTCATTTACTGGCTATGTGATCTTGGGCCAGAAAGTTGGTCTCTTTAAATCTTGATTTTTTTCATTTGCCAACTGAGGATAAGAATCTCCTTAACCCTTATAGTTTAAGACTCATGAGAGGTCCTCTGAAAGTACTTTCCAAACTACGAAGCTCTGAGAAAATGTCAGCTGTGAGGTTATTCTGACCCTCGTTCTAACACATGTAAGTATCACGTAAGGGAGCAAAACAAAACTCACAGCCACAAAAATACGAAAAAATAAATAAATAAAACAAAAACCAAAACAAAAACAAACAAACAAAAACTCACAGCCAGGTTGAGCGCTAGAGTAACTGGATGGACAGAATTTCCAGAAGAAAAGCTTTTTAAGGCATAATATTATGGTCATCAAAACCCAAATGGTTGCCTCTTTATAGGACCAACCAAAAGAATGAAATTCCAAGAGTGGAACTTTAGGAAGAAGGAAGACAGAAAGAAGATTCAAGGTAAGGAAACCACAAGACTTCTGTGGCCCTCCGAAAATCTCAGCTCTAGAAACCTGCATGTTTTGTTTCCATTTAGATGGGCCCTGCACTTTGAGTACCGGCTTCACGCTGTTATGCAGCTAAACTGCCTAACACAGAGCAGACACTTAAATGTCTATTAGACCGTTGTCTAAAATCTCAATATGAAGAAATACTCTTATTATAAGATTGAGTTTTTGTACATAGGCCCCATTTGAACCCTATAGATGTCAAGAAGTGAAGGAAAGAAGGATGGTTTAGCTGTGAAGGACATGAAAACAAAGGTCTGGCCACAAATGCTGGGTCATGGAGTCATTATTAACCACCATCCAAGAGGCTGTTCAGGTCACAGGACTATATCTGCCTAAAGCCCTCCTTACACAGTGGACCCAAACCCTCAGCCTTTAAATGTAATCTGTGAGGTTCCTGGCAATCAGTATATTCTAACTGGTGTGAAAGAGCCTGTAGTCACTGTAGGAGCAAATATAGACCAAGGAAGGCTGGGGGAGGCATTAGGAGGACATGAAGTCTAAGTTGAAACTCGAAGGTGGCAGGATTAAGCAAGCCGAACAAAGAGGATATATAAATGAGCAACCAGCATGGCTAACGGCAAAAGTACAGGCCAGCATAAATGAGACAACACTAATTGTTGTCTCAATACTTTCAGGTAAGAAGGGCCAGCTGCCAGATTACAGTTGGGCGGGGGTCGGGGAGAGCAGTCCCCAGTGAAGTCAATGTAGCAGTGACATTTTTCTTTCTATATTCCTGATTGTAGATGACTTCCAGTACAGTTGGTTGGAGAGATTCATGATTTTCAGTGGAGAAAACAGCCTTCTACTATAAAGGCACAAACTTAATATCCATTTTTTCAACATCTGCTCATTCCATTAAGTGTTGGGCTTTGAGTGAGTTTGAAGGTTTTTGTTTGTTTGTTTGTTTGTTTGTTTGTTTAACATCTTCTGTGAGTCTCTGTGCTAAGTATTCAGGACCCTGTGCTGAACAATTTATATCATTTCTGCCCCTAAGGAGCTTACAATCATCCTGACATTGAGAAAGCAGGGGGAAGTTGACCAGACGAGCTGTGTGACCTTGGGTGAATGACTCACCTTCTTGGAGCTGCAGATTATAAAACTTTAAAGTGGGGTAAAATTTATACCTACTTCATAGGGTTGTTAAGAGTATTTAATAGGATAATGCATAAAAGGATTCAACACAGGGCCAGGCACATAATAAGCACTCTATAAATATTAACTATTGCTATTCCACACCACGTCACCAGGCTTGGTCAGGACAAGAACATGGAAGGGATGGGTTATTCTCTGGTGCTGAGAGCACTGTTAGCACTCAAGCAGCAGGCTTTCCCGACCAAATGAACATGCGTTTGGCTGGATTCCACGACTCTGACCCCACAGCTTCAGATTCTAAGCCTCTCCTAGAGAGCTGATGAAATGTGACTGGTCATGCTTACAGTGTAAGCCAACCAGTCCCCTGGCATATGCCTGACATATGTGGTCCCACTGTAAACAACTATGTATGAAAATAAAAAAGGAAAGAAAATGACAGTTGTTGCCTTTTTAGTGGAAAGGATGGGGTAACCTATGACCCAGACATTGTCATTTACAAGAAGTAAAAGGAACCCTTTCGGCTGCTCATGCCAGAGTGTTTCCACTTGGACACAGCAGCTGTGAGCCAGATGGTCGCTTGTGGGCAGATCCAGGCTGGGAACCTAAGCGTGGCCTGTGATGATGAGGAGGAGCAAATGCAAAACAAAACTTGCTTTCTTTTGGAAAATATTGCCTCAGCCTGCTAAGGGAATTTACCTCATCAGTAACCACAGTCAAAGTGATGGTGATTAACAAGAGACAATGAAGACGAGAGCCTCCCCTTTT